AAACACTTCACACAATTGGCCTAAGTTGGTCTTTGTTTTATCCAAAACATCACAACTTACCAATTTCAAATGTACAAGAGTAGAAAACTTTTACTCTTACATTTGAAAGTTTTTAAACCTTCTTAAAGACATGTCACTCAAATTACAATCTTGGAGTATGACTCTAAGACTTGTATTGGAACGAAGTATGACTCATCTTCTTGATTTAACCATTTCAACAATTCAAGATCCCTTCTTCTTAGTCATAAGAATGCACTAAGACTTCCTTAGAGAACTAATTTTGATATGGTTTCTTAATCATTAAGATGATCACAAAACTGATACTAAAGTACTCTCCCATCTTTTCAGATTTGAGAAACTTTTATCCTTCTGCCTAATTTGATTCTTCTTATTCGCTCTGCCATGCATTGGAACCTTTTCCAATGTCTCAGAGTTACACTTAAGCTTGTAAGTATAATCATATTTACTGAGCTTTAGTAAACTATGACGAATAGCCTTATATCTTTTGTGGTGGACTTAATCAGTGCACATGACTATGTACTCGATCCCTTAGTCCATTACTTGACTCACACATCCATGTGAACAAGTAATTAGTCTTAATTTTTCCAATACTTGAAAGTTCTCATTCATCATGCTATACAACTTGCATGATTCCAAGTCCGGTCCAATTGAGACTTTGGTGATGAGAATCTTTCCTTATTTGGTAAATTTAGACATTACCACAAATGAAGGAATCAATTTCATATTTCCACTCTTGCTATTAATGGAATCATATAAGCAACAATTTTTCCTCAAATGCCATTGTAAGGATATTTTAAAATAAATAAAATCAAAAATTTTCTTTTATTTTAAAACTATGCGGAAAAACTTATCCTTACAATCCATATGAAAACTTGTTGTTATCTATTCCTAAGCAATATCTCATAACTCCTAAGAAGTAGCTCAAGAATCCGATTTTCAAACTACGCGATAGAAATCCATCTATGCGATCAGATTCAGCATATTCTTTCTTTAAGTTCCTTCACTTTTCTTTGATTCTTAAAACATTACCATGTGACCCAGTCACATCATGTATAAGAATCTCAGAATAGAAACTTAACAGAGTTAGATAGTGGACTTTACCTGAAGTAGAGTCAAACTTATTGACTTTAACATCCTTAGGTAAATTTGGCAGCTTCGCAACTAATGACCCTTCCTTTGGCAATATAAACATATGGACCCTTTGATAATGGTACACGGGACTATACAGACTTAGCTTTTCTCTTTACCATTTGGTCAACCTAGTTGACTATGGTCAATCCCTTTCCTTGGGAAGAGAATGTTTTTCTGTATTTCCTGTCCATTGTCAATGTCCATAAAGTTTTCAGGAAGTTGATCTTAACAAATAGATAAGATCATTAAGGGTCTTGTCATAGTCTGTTTCATAGGTGTTCCAAAAGAACTCACTATGTGACTTAGAAAGTAGTTGAACCACCAACTTTCTCAAGACTTTGACACCCAACTCTCCGGCTTGTCAATATGTGACTACATCTCCAAGATGTGATCACACCTAGACCTTGCCTTGCCAATAGGGCTTGAGTGACCTTAAACTTTTCAAGAACTTGTGGGTTAGGGAGAATAATTGGAGGAGGAGAAAGAAGTATGATTTCCATGGGACATCATCTTCATTTAGGAAAGCTTGTTTCAAGAGATTTGGGAAGATCATAAATGTCTAAACCAGACATGTTTTGGGAGATATTCAAGATAGTTGATTTAAAGTCCTTAATATGACACCCAATATGAAATATTAAGGCTAGGACCCAACAAACTATTTTATAACTTAGAAGAGGTATGCCGTAATCCAAGCTATAAAACAATTTGAAGGTAGGTGAATGACGATTCACCAATTTCCACCAAGATAAACGAAATGTATTATTAGGTTTTAATTGGTTTTGAAACTCCTAGATCTTTTGAGATTCATTGAACTGTTCAATGGCATGTTTCAATCTCGAGTGTGCCCTTCAGGTTTTGTGACTGGGATGCCGAGGATCACAAAACAAGGTGTGAAGTAACCATGCAAATTACTTGGTACCCTTAATTACCCCTCAATCGATGTGCCGGTTAACCACACACGCTCCATCGATACTATGTTAAGTCCATGTTAGTGTGCCGGTTAACCACACACGCTCCACTAACGACTTAGACAAAGTGTAAAGTGTAATTTCATGGATTAGCACCTTATTCATATTTTCCTAAGTAACTAAGTTTGGGAATTATTAAGAGTTTAGTTACTTAGTATTTATCATTAATACTTTTAATGACGGGAGAATTATAGTCCTGTCAAACCCGTTCGGCTAACGACCCTCCACCAGTCAAGCAAGCGGTGGGTGAGAGTGGACACCCATTAAGTTGCTATTTTATAGGCAACAACCTTATACCCACCTTATAGACCGGCTTCGTGAATGAGGCGTACTAGCGGTAAGACTGACTTTACTTTATACATATATATATATATATATATATATATATATATATATATATATATATATATATATATATATATATATATATATATATATATATTATTAACTTATAATATTATAAGTATAAGGGTTGAATTTTAACTTTTAAAATTCTAAGGGCTAACTTGGAATTAAAGTATTCATAAGAGAAAACTTTACAAATTCCAAAACTTGAGGGCAAGTTTTGAAACTATTCAAAACTAATTAATTCCATAACTTATGTGTTTAAAGTAGTTTTAATCCAAAAACTCTTCAAGTTCCATAACTTATGGAAGACTTTAAACTAAAAAAGAATTAACTTTTCTTTATTTTATAACTTATGGAATTAATTAAGGTTACATTATTTTTTTATTTATATTTAATGAAGAGACTCTTGGTCCTCCATAACTTGAGGACAAATTATGGAGTCATAACTCCAATTAATTAGAACTAGACTCTTCATTTTTGTAACCTTTGCCAATTTTATGAGTTTTATGAGTCTTTAATGTGACTCTTCATGTAACTTGAGGACAAGTTACACAAACACATTTTATACTCAACTCTTAGATTAAAATGGATTGAAAACAACTATTTCAATTAACTTTTCTATTAATCTAAGCAACTCATAAGAACAAGATAATTCAAATCAAACTTTTTCATGTAATTAGTCTAACCTTTAAACTAATACAAAACATGAATCTATTGACAATTATCTTTGAAAATGGATTAGCATGAACATTACCACATTAAAAACAAGTTTATAAGTTCAAAACAACTTAGGGTAATGTTCCTAGTCCATTTCTAGCCAAAAACCTCAAAATATGCTGTCTGGGGTCCAACTCGTCGAGTGCATGAACATAACTCGGCGAGTTGGATGCATTTTGCCTTGGACTCGTCGAGTCCCTTCATGGACTCGGCGAGTCTGCTGGGCTGACAGCACCAATTTCGATTTTTCAGCTTCTATTGCAAGGTATAACAAGAAAATAAGCCTAGGCTCTGATACCACTGTTGGGTTATGAGCATTCTAACACTCCTAAGTGTACATGCAACCCTAAATACCTTGGATCTATGTTTTCTCTATTATACATGCAAATATGAACATCCAAGGTATTATCCTAATCTAGCATACAAAACTATCAATATAACAAGATAGAATACATACCTCTTTGATGTAGAATGTCTTCATGAAGCTTGAGTGCCTAGTGCCCCAAGTGTGACACCTCAAATGGTTCACACAACACCATAAACACTTGGAATAACTTAGAGAGAATTCTACACTTCATGAAATCGGCTAGCCCTCTCTAGAATAATACTAGTGCCGATTTTGTCAAGATTAAGATCTTTACATAGCGTTACAATTAGGGTAAACCCTAATTGTCATGACTTTCCATTTCCTTGGATCCATGGATTCAAATACACCATGGAGCATCCATGGACCTGTTGGGTTATAAGCATTCTAACACTCCTAAGTGTACATGCAACCCTAAATACCTTGGATCTATGTTTTCTCTATTATACATGCAAATATGAACATCCAAGGTATTATCCTAATCTAGCATACAAAATATCAATATAACAAGATAGAATACATACCTCTTTAATCGTGCTTGTCTTCATGAAGCTTGAGTGCCTAGTGCCCCAAGTGTGACACCTCAAATGGTTCACAATCATCAAAACACATAGAATAACTTAGAGAGAATTCTACACTTCATGAAATCGGCTAGCCCTCTCTTATTCTCACTAGTGGCCGATTTTGGTCAAGAATAATATCTATATATAGTGTTACAATTAGGGTAAACTTTAATTGTCATGACTTTCCATTTCCTTGGATCCATGGGTTCAAATACACCATGGAGCATCCATGGAGTATCATATGGGTTTTGGCCCAACTAGATAATCCATGGAGCATTAGCCCACTATACAAGTATGGATGATTTACACAATCAACCCATATATTTAATTATTCTTTTGATCACTTAATTAATCCTAGATTAATTCTTGATCAATACTAATTAAATAATCTTATTATTCTTATTATTAATATATTAGAACTTATAATATATTAATAACCGTAAGTGTCTTATTTCTCTCATTTAGTCTATCCAAGTGCATGATGGTATGCAACCCAAATGGACCATGCCGGGTCGGGTCAAGTCTTACCAATTATAGTTATGGACTTAGACATTAATCCAACAGGACCATCCTATGGGTTTTAGCCCAACTTGATTATCCATGGAGCATTAGCCCACTATATAAGTATGGATGATTTGTACAATCAACCCATATATTTAATTAGTCTTCTTTTGATCACTTAATTAATCCTAGATTAATTCTTGATCAATACTAATTAAATAATCTTATTATTCTTATTATTAATATACTAGAACTTATAATATATTAATAACCATAAGTGTCTTATTTCTCTCATTATAGTCTATCCAAGTGCATGATGCCATGCAACCCAAATGGACCATGCCGGGTCGGGTCAAGTATTACCAATTATAGTTATGGACTTAGACATTAATCCAACAATTTTAGCTCCCCAACTATACAAATTTCTTTGAGAGATCTATTTAAACTTAGATCAAGCGTGATGAGTTTTGTGAGCAGCTTCAGTGATTGTTGGAGGGATCTGATTTTATTATGAGACATATCTAAAACTTTAACTTCTTTCATGCCTCGAAAGAATTCATCAGGAATAATTGAAAGAAGATTGTATCGTATAAGGAAAGTATCAAGGAGTGGGAAATGAAGCTCATGATCGGGAAGCTTACGAATTCTATTATCCATGAGTGAGATCTTGGTGTAGCTTTCTGAGGTTCTGTTTCTTGGTTGCCATTCTGTCGTATCTTTATTTCCAGCCTCCACTAAAAACTTCTCCTTCTCTTCACCATCAGAAGACGAAGTTATTAACAAAGCCACATCACGAACAACATCGTGCATTTTTACTTTGTTTCCCTCGGACAATAACACGGAAGAAGATGTGAGTGTGTCAACTGCCATCTGGATTCTTTTTCTGGCATCGTTAATGCTACACAGATTATCAAATATCCGCAGACCCACCCCATATTCTGCTAAACATAAAGTATCTATGATTTCATCTTCACTGAACAAACTACACAATAAGAAGCATGATTTAGCTTCTTTACTGCCAAGCAAGTCATAGCTCAGCTTCAAATGAGTAAATGTTTTCCTTATCTCTTGATGGATCTCTAGTGGGGCATGGTTTCGTAGTCGGTCAAGTGTTGCCTCCCATACATGAATTGATTTATTTTTTAAATCATTTCCCACCGCTCGAATGATGAGGGACAATCCACCACATTCTTTAGTCACTTCTTTTGCAATTTTCTCCATACTAGTGTCATTCGCTAACTTCTCATCACCAACTATACGTTTGAAGAGCACCCACGCTTCTTTCTTCTTTAAAGCATTTACACAGATATTCCTATCGACGTTCATCCCTTCACATACATCCATTCTTCTAGAAGTCAACAAAATCTTGCAATTCATGTGCTCATTCCCACATGGTATGCCTAGATCAGATAGGACCAGTTGTTCCCATATGTCATCTAAAATGATTAGAACCTTCTCCTCATTAATCATTATCCGCTTTGCAGCTACTTCAACATTCTTATTAATCTTTTCAACGTCTACAGTCTATGAAACAGTTATAAACACAATGTCTGCAAATAGTTTCTTCACTTTTGCAGCAGCTTCCTTGGCTAATGTAGTTTTCCCTACACCTCCTAACCCATAAATTCAAACCATTCGTGTCCTCTCATCTTTGATACCTTCGATGATTTCCCTCAACGCCAACTTGTGGGTATCAATATCATCAAGATTCTTTGTTTGGTAGAGATCTACCAATATTGGGGTGCGAGTGAGAATGGAGACACAAGATTCATAAGTTTGACCATCTTCTTGATGCTGCAAAAGAAAAGGGGTATAGTTTATCGCCATCTTACTGTAATGGTGGAGGGTGCTCAAATTGACACAAGGTTGTAAGTTGAAGCACGTCTTCTTGGCATTGGCTTCTTCTTCAAGAAACTCTTCCGCCTTGGATATTTCAATGTTTGCCATGTCCATCCAGTTCTGCACACCAACTAAGAGAACATCTCCATTTTCTTTAGCTGCATGGATTCGTTGTTGAATCCTATCCGTCATATCCTTGAGCTTTTGAGCTTCATTCCTCAACATGTCAACATTTTTAGTGCAATTTCGGACGTAATCAATCTCCCATTTAGCCGCACTAAACAACAAGTCCACTATTTTCCCAACCACGGTGTTAGTGACCTCCTCCGCCATTCTAGTTAGATTACTTTTCTGCTCTGATGGTTTGGATGGAAAAGTGGTCAGACAAAATATAGTAGATCTTGAAACAAGAAACGTTTATGCTAAAAAAAAAAGGAAGATATATTCTTTCTTTAGATATGAAAAACAGTATTATGATTAACCAAAAACGAAAGGCCCTGATTCATAATATTGTACACAAAATGAAGATCAAAGTGGTTGTTTGGCTTACAAAAGAAGATTATGATGGACCAAGAATGGAAGACGGTGGCTGAATGAAGAAAAATTGTGAACGATAAGAGTGAATATTGTACACAAATAGTGTAAATCAAGGAAGGAAGATTTACTTTTCCTAAATTGAACGATAAGATTTACTTTTCCTAAATTGTACACAAGAAGTGTAAATCAAGGAAGGTAGATTTACGTTTCCTAAATTAAACGATAAGATTTAGTTTTCCTAAATTGTACACAAGAAGTGTAATCAAGGAAGGAAGATTTATTTTTCCTAAATTGAAGGCAATACCCCTTCCCCTATTCTAATAAGGGTGTTGATTCTTCCATATCGAAGAAGTTAATTAATCCACTAAAATGTATAATGCAATGACAACTATACCCTGGTTTAAATATGTAGTGGATTTTAATTCCGTTTCGGGTACTGCTTCTCTGTAAGTCAATTATACAAAAAACAATTTATTGAGAGTTCTTTTGCTCATACTTTACTGTTTACACTTCACACCACCATATTTCTTTTTTCTTTTTTTTTTTTTTATTTTGACAATAAATCCCTTAGCTATTCCTTTTTTATGAACATATAACACAAACAAAAATATAAGGATTGACAAAATTAATGGGTAAATAAAGATTTGTTGTAATCTTCAAATTTTACTCATTATGAAGATAAAAGACAACGATAATCTTTTTTCATCTTGTCATCTTTAGACTTACTACCTATATGTCTTTTAGGTTAGTTCCAAACTGAATGGTGTTCGGGTAAACCTAAAACCATATGCAATTCTATTTGTATCAAATCATGTTTATGTCGTAATTATTAAGATAAAACTTATAGTTATTGTAAATAAAAAAGTAAAAAGTATTTCAACTTTTCATTCATTTGTTAAATGGATATTTATTCTTCCACTACCTATTTTTATCTATCCATAAAATTTTATGGTTAATTGACACACATGGTCTTCCTCATCCACCCTACTACTCTCTCTCTCTCTCTCTCTCTCTCTCTCTCTCTCTCATATAAAGAACCACCTAATGTCGTTGCTAAACCAAACAAAAGATTTTATACATTTTTAATTTGTCTTTTCAAGTTTGATTAATGATTAAAATAAAATCAAAAAAATCAAAAAAATAAATGCTAAATAATAAATACAACCGTGAATATATGTTTTTGTTTCCATATATACAACTGGTAATTCTAGATGGTAATTCTTGTTGGGTTTTATACAAACAATCCTATGTGTACATGCAACCCTAGCATTGGATCTACGTTTTCACTATTAGATACACAACATTATGAACACATAATAAAACCCTAAAGATGATTTCTATTTTCTAAATTAACCAAGAAGGTTAGATTACATACCTCTTGTTGTTATATTGTAATAACAACTTGAATCTTCAAACCGTAAGTCTTGAAAGCAAGCACCACAAGTGTAGTGCCTCTAATGGCTCACAAACACCAAGAGCAAATGGAGAGGTAATAGAGAGAGAGAGAGAGAGAGAAGACGTATAGAATTTCGTCCCTAGGAACCCTCGGGAAGATATGGACAAATTCATGAGCCTTAGGAGTCTTTATATAGGTGTATAGAGTAGGATTTCAGTACTTATCCTTATCTAGTTGCTTGCCCACCAAGTAACAATAAGATAAGCCTTGAAAGCCCATATCTTTGGACGATTTCAAGGATACATATCCTTTAGATTTCGTCCACCCATATTTTAGGATAATCCTTACCCTATTTTGCAACTATCATATAATTACAATTCAGCCCCTCAAGTTTAATTAATTACACTTGATCACAAAATTAATTCCTAATTAATTATTGAACAATATTAATTAAACAAATATGATTTCTCCTTTAATATATTATTCTTATAACATATTAATAAATCATAATAACCTCTTTCTCTATTATTTCTCAAGTCAAGTTGCTTTGGTGAAGGCAACCCAAAAGGACCATGCATAATCAGGTCAAGTATTTACCAAATATGGTTACTGGCTTCGACACTAATCCAACAGTCTCCCACTTAGATAAGTCTAGTAACTACAAATGTAAGTACACCTCGATTTGCAATCGTAGCTCTCAAAGACGCTGTCAAACTCTGATCTTATCAGTAACCTATCCTTCAGATAAGGGATCATATATTCCTCCATTCTAGATATCGTATTGACACGAGACATGGATTGAAATTATTCTCTCAGTCTATGTGTTGTTTCTCGATTTCCAATTTACGACGACCGACTAATTGAACAAATCAAATTATCCCTAGCCCGGCCGAGCATTTATGTTTGTCATCACTGAATCACCGAGGGGCCCACAGATATCGCTTTTATCCCACTCTGGGTAAAAGGAACGGATAAACTTCAACTCAATGTTTGCTTGCACTCACTCACCAAATCACACACAATAATAAGTTTTATAACACCGAGTTACTGGTGCATTTACATATTATCAATGTGCAACCGATTCGCAAGATACAACTCACACATCTCGGTTTCAAGAATACAAGATATTATCGTCTCACCAATCGCTCGTGATAACATCCATGAAGCGATCCAAGTGAACGCAGGGTTAATCCAATGCTCAAAATCATATTCATAAGCACTCATGAACATTGTAGCAAACCTTTGCTATGTCTAATACGCTTTAGACAATCTACAACCAATTCATGACAGTCTTCATTCATACATACTTCCAATGTATGATTAACTGTGGTCCGTTTGAATAATCTGATTATTCTTAATAAACTCAATTAAATTATTCAGGAAGTCAAAACATGCAAAGTGAAACACAATAATAATACTAATCCCATGTGGCCTCAAACCTTTGAGTATAAATGAAACACCTTTTATTTATCACCATATCAATTACTCATTATTTGTCGTTTCGGGTAATCACCTTCTTACTTGAATTATTACTACACTTGTCCCATGCTCTTAGCATGCACACAATGTTTACCTATGGTTCTTACTTTGTGAAATATATCAAATTCAACACATTTCCAATCACTCTCACTTCACAACTCCAAATCTTTTTTCATAAGTGAAAGAATACCAAATTCTTGCCACTTATTGAATATGCTAGATTCTAACATTTTATGCAATGATCCTTTCGTAATGTCACTGCACCAAAATGACAAAGACTATTGCCAATGATATTACAAAGTCCTCTATCGAAGATTGTTCCAAGACAATTCCATAGATATGATGTCTCTTATTCAAAGTACATTCCTTTAAACATCCTTTTGCATAAAAGTTTCTAATCTACACATAGATTTTCATTATTCAATTCCCAATATGGACATGCTTCCATATTTTTCATATGACAACTTATTCTTAATAGAATCCTATCTATTCATAATAATGTCGATATGGTACATCCAATATGGAATCATTTCCATATGACAATTCATTCTTAATAGAATCTTTTCTATTCATAATAATGTCGATATGGTCCATCCAATACCATGCTTCCGACTACTCACAAGCAACCAATCCTCGTCCAACTTTGGATTGTCCTTTGATAGTTGTTTAATTATTTTAGTCAAAACCGATTCTAGTCCCTTTTCCCTTTAAATGCGCTAGACATTTGGAAAATTTTAGAATGGTCAAATAATAAAGCATTTGCAATCGACACTATACCCTAAGCGTATGGGACTCGATGCATAATGTTTTATTTTCTATGTTCTCAAAATTCGAATTGTGAAGAGGAATGTGTTGGATTAGTGTCTAAGTCCATAACTATTTTGGTATGTACTTGACCCGATGGTGCATGGTCCTTTTGGGTTGCCTTCACCAAAGCAACTTGATAGGATGAATTCTGGAGAGAAAAGATTAAATATGATTTATTAATATATTATGAGAATAATATATTAAAGGAGAAATCATATTGTTTAAATTAATATTAGTCAAGAATTAATTAGTAATTAGTTTTGTGACTAAAAGAGATTAATTAAACTTAAGGGACTGGAATTGTAATTATAAGATAATTGCAATTTGGACTATGGATTGCCTTATATTAAGGAGTGGACGAATTCTATGGGAAAGCCCATGAGGAAATCGTCCAAGGCCTTAAGGAAAGGAATCTATGGGTTGCTTAGGGCTTAAGCATCCAACTTAGGGTTTCCTTGTTAGATAACCCTCATAGCCTCCTATATATATAGATCCCTTATGACCCAAAAACGTGGCTAAGCATCCTTCTAGGGTTTCACACGTTTTAGGTCAGCCTCCATCCTCTCTCTCCTCTTCATCCTCTTGCTCTTGGTGTTTGTGAACCATTAGAGGAGTGACATTTGTGACTCTATGCTTTCTAAAGTCAATACAAGGAGGAATTGGATTATTATTGCTACATAACAATCAAGGTAATGTCTTAAACCCATTCTTATGTTAATATTATTACTTGTATGCTAGAATTAGGTTTTATAGTCTTGGATAACTTGCATGTACAATAGAGAAACCTAGATCCAAGCATTAGGGTTTGTATGAGCACATAGGATGTTCTTATGACCAAAACCCATCAGAATGTCGTAATCATAATCGAAATTTTAAGAACACACTATGTACCTTTGACTAAATTTATTAACATTTCTCAACCCAAGCCTTTAGATTTGAAATGAATCATAATATTCTCTCCCTTAATTATAGCAAAACTACTTTACAACCCTTACGACTTTGCAAGGTATAACTCTTGTTTTCTATAATTAATATTTCCAACTTGCAATACGTGCCATAATAATCATACAATCATAACATTTATGCTCCCACTATCATGATGATTATTATAAAA